CTACTAGTCTATAGCTACTACTACTACTACTACTAGCTACCTATATACTATATCTACTACTACGAGTCGATATCTACTACTACTACTAGTACGATATCTACTACTACTAGCTACGATAATCTACTAACTACTACTAGTACTAGATCTACTACTACTACTAGTACATATCTACTACTACTACTAGTACTTATATACTACTACTTACTAGTACTATAATATACTACTACTACTAGTACTAATACTACTACTAGTACTACGTACTAGTTATTCTACTACTACTGACTATCTATATCTAACTACTAACTACTAGTATAATATCTACTACTACTACTAGTCTACTAGCTACTAACTACTCACAGTACTATATCTACTACTACTACATAGTACTATATCTACTACTACTACTAGTACTATATCTACTACTACTACTAGTAACGATCATCTACTACTAACTACTAGTCTATATCTACGACTACTACCTAGTATATATATACTACTACTACTAGGACTAATATCGACTACTACTAGTACTATATCTACTACGACTACTAGTACGATTATCTACGACTACGACTAGTACGATATCTAACTACTACTACTATACTATATCTACTCTACTACTGTACTATCTACTCAATACTAATCTATATTCTACACTACTACTAGTTACTATATCTACTACTACTAGTACTATATCTACTACTACTACTAGTATCTCTATCTACTACTACTACTAGTCTATACTACTACTACTACTAGTCTATATCTACTACTACTACTATCTATATCTACTACACTACTAGTACTATATCTACTACTACTATACTATATCTACTACTACTACTAGTATATCTACTACTACTACTAGTACTATATCTACTACTACTACTAGTCTATATCTACTACTAGTACTAGTACTATATCTACTACTACTACTAGTATATATCTACTACTACTACTAGTCTATATCTACTACTACTACTATATCTACTACTACTACTAGTACTATATCTCTACTACTACTAGTCTATATCTACTACTACTACTATACTATCTACTACTACTACTAGTATATATCTACTACTACTAGTCTATATCTCTACTACTACTAGTCTATATCTACTACTACTACTAGTACTATATCTACTACTACTACTAGTACTATATCTACTACTACTACTAGTACTATATCTACTACTACTACTATATATATCTACTACTACTACTAGTCTATATCTACTACTACTACTAGTCTATATCTACTACTACTACTAGTACTATATCTACTACTACTAGTACTATATCTACTACTACTACTAGTACTATATCTACTACTACTACTAGTACTATATCTACTACTACTACTAGTACTATACTACTACTACTACTAGTCTATATCTACTACTACTACTAGTACTATATCTACTACTACTAGTACTATATCTACTACTACTAGTACTATATCTACTACTACTACTAGTACTATATCTACTACTACTACTAGTACTATATCTACTACTACTACTAGTACTATATCTACTACTACTACTAGTACTATATCTACTACTACTACTAGTATATATCTACTACTACTACTAGTACTATATCTACGACTACTACTAGTACTATATCTACTACTACGAGTACTATATCTACTACTACTACTATACTATATCTACTACTACTAGTACTATATCACTACTACTACAAGTACTATATCTACTACTACTATAGCTATATCTACTACTACTGACTAGTACTATATCTACTACTACTACTAGTACTATATCTACTACTACTACTAGTAATATATCTACTACTACCCTAGTACTATTATCTACTACTACTAGTACTATATCTACTACTACTACTATACATATCTACTACTATACTAGTACTATATCTACTACTACTACTAGTACTATATCTACTACTACTACTAGTACTATATCTACTACTACTACTAGTACTATATCTACTACTCTACTAGTACTATATCTACCTACTACTAGTACTATATCTACTCCTACTACTAGTACTATATCTACTACTAGTACTATATCTACTACTAGTACTATATCTACTACTCTACTATATATATCTACTACTACTACTAGTACTATATCTACTACTACTACTAGTATATATCTAATACTACTACTAGTATATATCTACTACTACTACTAGTCTATCTACTACTACTACTAGTACTATCTAGTACTACTACTACTACTACTATATCTATACTACTACTAGTACTCTATCTACTACTACTAGTCTATATCTACTACTACTACTAGTACTATATCTACTACTACTACTAGTACTATATCTACTACTACTACTAGTACTATATCTACTACTACTACTAGTACTATCTACTACTACTACTAGTATATCTACTACTACTACTAGTACTATATCTACTACTACTACTAGTACTATATCTACTACTACTACTAGTACTATATCTACTACTACTACTAGTACTATATCTACTACTACTACTAGTACTATATCTACGACTACTACTAGTACTATATCTACTACTACTACTAGTACTATATCTACTACTACTACTAGTACTATATCTACTACTACTACTAGTACTATATCTACTACTACTACTAGTACTATATCTACTACTACTACTAGTACTATATCTACTACTACTACTAGTACTATATCTACTACTACTACTAGTACTATATCTACTACTACTACTAGTACTATATCTACTACTACTACTAGTACTATATCTACTACTACTACTAGTACTATATCTACTACTACTACTAGTACTATATCTACTACTACTAGTACTATATCTACTACTACTACTAGTACTATATCTACTAGTACTATATCTACTACTAGTACTATATCTACTACTAGTACTATATCTACTACTAGTACTATATCTACTACTACTACTAGTACTATATCTACTAGTACTAGTACTATATCTACGACTAGTACTATATCTACTACTAGTACTATATCTACTACTAGTACTATATCTACTACTACTACTAGTACTATATCTACTACTACTACTAGTACTATATCTACTACTAGTACTATATCTACTACTACTACTAGTACTATATCTACTACTAGTACTATATCTACTACTAGTACTAGTACTATATCTACGACTACCGCGTAAAGCGAGGGTAGCCTTTACAGTATTAGGCGGAAAGGCAAATGTGACGGCATCCAATGAGTAAAACACAAAATAAATAACCCGCACACACACACACACGGCCAACCAGATGTACAACAGGAGACCCATGCCATGCACGACTGCGCCTTTCACAGAGCGGCACGGGTTTATCATTGTCCACCGCATTCGCTCAAAAATGTCAAAAACGGCCCGGCTCAGAAGTTGTTTATTTTTGTCTTAAGAGGGCAGCCCTTTAAACCGGCACCATCTGCTATGATCAACGCAACACGGTATATAAATATTTCTCAATTTACAAAGTCGTTTTTTTACTTTCAAATATAAGTCTATTGCCAACACTTGCCTAGTAATGCACTTCTCAAATCCGGATTGAATCTTGGGTAATACATGTTTTGGAAACCTTGCATAAATACGAAACACAGGACGGCATTTAGTTCGAATACTTTAACAGTCGTACAGCTGCCCAACCTCGTGTGGGACCTTGTAAAGCTAAGCAGGCTAGAGCCTGGAGAGTGGTTGGATGAGCAACCACCATGCATAACGGGTTGCTGTGGGTTGCTGCTGCTGCTGCTGTTGCTAGGCTGCTGTTGTGCGCATCACAGGGGCAGGGCAGCTAAAACAATCCACGGTTGTACTGCTCTATGCTCCCGGTGTCTCCACCATCCGCACCGTGACCAGCCCCCACAAGACACGCGGCGTACGGAGGGGAATAGGCATCACCATCCAGCAGCAGCGGAGAGACGCGCGTGTCGCGCACCGTCGATCAACAGTCAAGCCACTCGGCCGTCGTCAGCGCCGTCACAAGAACAACGTGTGGGGGGGGGGGGGGACAGCGAATTCCCACGTGTCCCGGCGCATTTTGATGAACGATCGCAGCGATTTTTAGAGCGGCCAAGTAACCACTTGTAATAAAGATATGGATTGATAAACGGCTTAGTAACATTACACGCCTTCGTTTTTATCAAGCGCGCTCTCTTCTCATCTCTCTCTCTCTCCGTGCCAGAACGTTTCTAGCTCGACCCGCCAGTGATGTGAACGCGGGCTACCGCTGGGGAGCGGCGCTCGAAGGCTCCCAAAACGCACCGAGCGGAGAGCAGCGCTCGCTCCAGCTCCCTCCGCCGGGGGGATTGAGAGAGACGGCCCGGCCGATGGGGGCGGTGGGATGAAGGCGTCCCCAGGGCGGCCGGCAGGACTCGAGGCACGGAGGAGTCGAGCCGGAGGGAGGGTGAGGCGAGCCCACTGCTGCCAACGGGCGCCGGGTTTATTGCTTCTTAGTTTTGTGTCTCGACATCTCCCCTGCTCGTAACGGGATGGTGTGGCAACACTGGACTGCAGCAATCAATCAAATTCATTTTGATTTTAATCCGGTGCAGGTTTTGCGTCGGTCGACTATAATAAGCGTGTTGCACCTACGACAAAAGTTTGAATGAATTTGAGGTGACGAACAAAAGCAAACGGAGACGCTTGCTCTACTCTACAAACGAGCAGTCCATTTCCCCTGGGAGTCATGCGACGTTCACGCACACCGAACCCAGACGTGGCAAATCCACCCTGGCACGAAACGCAACACCTCGAGACGCACTTCACCTCGGCAACCACTGTGAATAGACATCTATCAACCACCAGCGGCAGTTTTAGTTTTCTTTTTGCTTTTACAGAGTTCCAAGGTTGCACGAAGTGCTAGAACAAAACCGTTTTAAGTTTTTTATTAATCCGAGACACAGGCTTCGTTATTACGCAGTGCGCTCAAGTGCTTTTGGAAACAGCTTTGGCACAGCATCGGTTCGTGCTCAAAAGAAGAGCGGATGAGGTCAGAGTTACAAAGATTAACTTTAGTGCAGAGCGCACGTGCAAGGCAGTCACGCAAGCCACGTGATGTGTGTAAGTTCACTTGGGTGCGAGTCACACGGCGGCGTTCCCACCACGTCACCCCCCACCGGCCAAGTCCGTGAATTCCGTGAATTCGGGTTCGATATTCGAGTTAAGAGTCCATTATTAGCGTGTTTTTCGTGAACGTTTCCTGTTTGTACCGTATCTTGCTTGCTTCACGATACCGAATGCATCACCAGCAGACAACCTTTCAATAAAGAGTGAACGTATTCTCGCAAAATCGCGGCGAAAAGACGCGCGCTTCGCGATCGTGCAGGAATTAATTTTTTAGCGTAGACTCATCACGCACGAGACGACATCGCGCTGCGTCGCTGCGCCGGATGCGGTGCGGGCGGGCGGAAGGTGATCGCGCGCCGTGGCGGGCCGAGTTGTAAACATAGCGGGGGCTTCAAATTCGTGGGTAATCAACGAAGACGAATAACACATTTACGCCACAAGGCATCGACACGAAACCCAAAACAAAACGACTCGCGCGCTCAGTCGTCCCTGAAGCGGGTGGCCGCACGAGGCGGCCGGGAGGAACGTGAGCTCACGAGGCTTTTCCCACGATGCCCTGCGGGACGAACGAGCATTGGACTTCAGCGCCCGTAACCATTTGTGTTGCTCCCCCTCACGGCGGACGTCGATGCCCCGTTGTCGACGGGAGACGACGTTTTGATCGGGCGCGAGTTTTCCTCGAGAAACTCCCCTTACGGAGCGGGGGGGAGGAGGTGGGGGGTTTGGGCGTCGTTACAGACAGGGCCGTTCGTCGTCAGCCTGACGGTTGCCGGGGGGCAGGGTAGGGGCAAAGGAGGGTGGAGGTGCTTGTTTCGTCGATAGCGATGGGGGTCCGGTGCACGGTGGGAGCTCGCGGACGGTTCCACGGTGGCAGCCGTCGCCCGGCGGAGTCGCGAATTGGTGACGCGGCCGGCACGGGCAGTGCGGTCCCGGCTAGAGTTCGGAGCGGGAGCGCGTGATGCGCGGCCCCTTCCGCTTCTCGCGCTTCTCCTCCTGCTTCCTCCTCTTCTCCTCCTTCCGGAACGCCTCGCGCAGCACCTGCGTGTCCCTCAGCATCTGAGCCCCCCCCCCCGCCCCCAGGTGCGCGTGACACCACAACAATCACGGCAGGGGTTGGCGAGCGAACACGGGGCGCGGAAATAAACGCAGCGCCGTGTCTTGCGTTTAAACGTCCGTGAGCCGCTGCGCGCAGAAAGTCGGAATTACCTTCTCCTCGTCCAGCTGGAAGGGGTTGTGATATTCGGGCGACTTCTCGATGAGACCCAGCTCCTGCGACGCCTGGGCTCAAAACAGATCAACACCAGCGCACGCACGGGTATCAAAACAAAGAACCCGGAGGAAACCCATGCAGAACAGTGGGGGGGGGGGAAGGAGAGAATATACAAACTCCACGCCGTAAGAGGCGCCCGGATCGGGAATGGAGCCCGGCTACCGTCTTGTCGCCTCACCAGGCCCAGCAGCTGCGCGTGGGTGCCGTCGGCGAAGACGCCTGTGCCGTTGCAGAAGAGGAGGCCCCAGCGCACGAGGGCGAGGCGCTCCGCGCTGCCGTCCACGTAGCTGTGCACGATGCGCGGGAAGCGCAGGAGCACGTCGCCGAAGAACGCCACGTTCTCCACCACGTGGGAGAACGCTGCCGGGGGGGGGGGGGGGGGCGGCACGGGACGATGGTCGCTTCACGACGCCACGAGGGAGCGCCTTGCGCCTCGGCGCAAACGCCCGCGCCGCTATAACGGACGACGCGAGCCGGCAAACAAACTAACTCTGAATAAATGTAACATTTTATCTATTGCCGACGCTGAAAGCACGGAATGGAATGGCACCAGATCGCTTGACGATTATCATGGTTGGCTACGTATGGTGCGAAAGAAGTTCAACATACATACATGGTCTCCCTATAAGCCTCAGCATGATGCCAGGCCTGGTAACCAAGGCTATATTTCTGTCCGGGTCAGTGACCCAGAAAACGTTTCCACGCCTGGCACACCGCATACGGTATACCTCTCGATATGGTTGTAGCTGCTACAAGTCACATCCCTATCCCAGTCTTCCTATTACGCGAAAAATAACCAGCGAAGATTGGGGCCCTGGCAGTAACGGTGGGCACCCCGTACCGTCCCTCTGTCGGGCGTCGTCGGGGATGGGGCCTGAAGGCAGCACGTTGGCGGCAGCCAGGATCACGCGCGATTCCTCCAGCACCTGATGCACACACACACGCACACACACACACACATACGCGCACACACGCGCACACACGCACACACACGCACACACACGCACACACACGCACACACACGCACACACACGCACACACACACGCACGCACACACACGCACACACACGCACACACACGCACACACACGCACACACACACGCACGCACACACACGCACACGCACGCACACGCACACACACACACGCACACACACGCACACACACGCACACGCACGCACACGCACACACACACACGCACACACACGCACACACACGCACACACACGCACACACACGCACACGCACGCACACGCACACACACACACGCACACACACACACACACACGCACCTTATTAGTCACTGCGAGCTGTGCCACAGGGCAGCAAACTGAACACTTCGGCATTCGCATTTATTGGAGGATTAATGCCCCAGCATCTCAATGTGCCTTGAATCTCATCTCAATCGTTCCAATGCCCGGCTGCAAGTATTCTTTAGCCTAGGGGACTCCCGTAGGACAGCCGTCCCTGTGCAGAGGAGGTCCAGGTCTGCTTTCAGATATTTACTAATTTAATTCGTTTAACCCCAGGTGAGATCTCAAGAGCGGCCTGGGTCAATAAAACGTCAGAAGCAACAACACAAAACCCTCACTTGCACCATCTCCATGCGGCGCTGCTCCCTCTGGGTACAAACACGCAAAAGCACGACTGACGCAGAAGCTCAACACGTCCGTCGACAAACCAACACTGCGGCGGCCTTAAAAGAACAAAAACTGAAATGTAGCAAGGGGCGTGACGAAGGGCCATTCGCCCCCCTGAAACGTTGCCCTACGAACGCATTCGGTCACCTTGAAGAGGCCCTGCAGCATGATGTCGATGATCTTGTACTGCTGCTGGAGGTCCCTCAGCTCAATGAGGGTCTTGAGGGCGTTCATCTGCTCCTTGCGTTTGACCTCGAACAGCTTCTTGTCTTGGCGCCCGTCGAGTCAAGGCGTCGGCGGCGATCGCAACGATTCCCAAAAGGGAGCGCCGGACTCGGAGAAGTGGCGATCCGACGGCGCTCGGACAGAGAGGTCGAACCGCTCACTGCGCAACTCGAGCCCGGCGAGTCGTTCCCAATCCACGACGCGCAGGCGCACGCCGCGTTCCGCAGGGCAGCGGCTTCACTCGGCGACTTACAAGCTCATCATAATTACAACAACAATAATGTCGAGATTTGAAGTTTTCGTGACTGCAAGGATCCATACTCTTTGGTTCTTTTGGTAAAGTCAAAATAAAAAATATATTTTTCATCTACGTGACTTTACCGACAGAACCAAAGAGTAATAATAATCTCGATTTGTAACACGCTGCACAGTAACCGCTCGCTCTCGACCAGAGATAACGACTCTGATGGGCAGCAGCAGCAGCAGCATTCAGATGGCGCACCGGCTCTACCAATAATTAAGTTGTTATCGGCCAACTAATGCGCATTCATTCGCTTGAGTGCATCGGTTCCCAACCTGTGGTCCAGAAGCCCATGGGGAAGTGGTCCACGGAACTCTTGCAGACACGATGCTTGGCAATAGCTCGCATTCTGCAATGTTATTGGGGCACGCAGTCCACGAGCCACAGCAGAAATCGGTACCACCAAGGGGAGCAATACTTCGGCAGTACCGATTAATGCGACAAATATGGGTGGATTATTTGACAACCCCGCTCATTTTCAAATCGATCTCACAATCATTCAGTCCCCGTGAGTGGCCGCACGAAGAGGCTGGAGCCACGGCGGTGACGCCACCCCGGGCGGTAGTCGTGACGAGGATACAGAGACCGAGGGAGACCTTGTCCGGGGCGGTGCGTCGCTCCTGGGCCTCCGCAGCAGCAGCGGCGGCGACCGCGAGCAGCAGCAGCAGCAGCGCAGTGGTCGTGGCGGCGCCACCACCGCACCACCGTGGCCACACCACGGGCACACGAGCGCCCATTTCCTCGCCAGCCAGAGGTGCCTGGGTGGGCAAGGTGCGAGGCGCGGGTGAGCAGGGCGATCCGGCACCCACCGATTCACTCCGGCGCCCACCGATTCACTCCGGCGCCCACCGATTCACTCCGGCGCCCACCGATTCACTCCGGCGCCCACCGATTCACTCCGGCGCCCACCGATTCACTCCGGCGCCCACCGATTCACTCCGGCGCCCACCGATTCACTCCGGCGCCCACCGATTCACTCCGGCGCCCACCGATTCACTCCGGCGCCCACCGATTCACTCCGGCGCCCACCGATTCACTCCGGCGCCCACCGATTCACTCCGGCGCCCACCGATTCACTCCGGCGCCCACCGATTCACTCCGGCGCCCACCGATTCACTCCGGCGCCCACCGATTCACTCCGGCGCCCACCGATTCACTCCGGCGCCCACCGATTCACTCCGGCGCCCACCGATTCACTCCGGCGCCCACCGATTCACTCCGGCGCCCACCGATTCACTCCGGCGCCCACCGATTCACTCCGGCGCCCACCGATTCACTCCGGCGCCCACAGATTCACTCCGGCGCCCTCCGATTCACTCCGGCGCCCTCCGATTCACTCCGGCGCCCTCCGATTCACTCCGGCGCCCTCCGATTCACTCCGGCGCCCTCCGATTCACTCCGGCGCCCACCGATTCACTCCGGCGCCCTCCGATTCACTCCGGCGCCCTCCGATTCACTCCGGCGCCCACCGATTCACTCCGGCGCCCTCCGATTCACTCCGGCGCCCACCGATTCACTCCGGCGCCCACCGATTCACTCCGGCGCCCACCGATTCACTCCGGCGCCCTCCGATTCACTCCGGCGCCCTCCGATTCACTCCGGCGCCCTCCGATTCACTCCGGCGCCCTCCGATTCACTCCGGCGCCCACCGATTCACTCCGGCGCCCTCCGATTCACTCCGGCGCCCACCGATTCACTCCGGCGCCCTCCGATTCACTCCGGCGCCCACCGATTCACTCCGGCGCCCTCCGATTCACTCCGGCGCCCACCGATTCACTCCGGCGCCCTCCGATTCACTCCGGCGCCCTCCGATTCACTCCGGCGCCCACCGATTCACTCCGGCGCCCTCCGATTCACTTCGGCGCCCTCCGATTCACTCCGGCGCCCTCCGATTCACTCCGGCGCCCTCCGATTCACTCCGGCGCCCACCGATTCACTCCGGCGCCCTCCGATTCACTCCGGCGCCCACCGATTCACTCCGGCGCCCACCGATTCACTCCGGCGCCCACCGATTCACTCCGGCGCCCTCCGATTCACTCCGGCGCCCTCCGATTCACTCCGGCGCCCTCCGATTCACTCCGGCGCCCTCCGATTCACTCCGGCGCCCTCCGATTCACTGCGGTGCTCAAGTCGCCTCCTTTTCTCTCTTCTGTGGCGACGATCGTGGTTAGCGCTCCTGTCAGCACCAATCGTTGATTCGTCCATGCGGGTTGAGGGATCGGTCTCTCACGGACACGGACTGTGTCGTAACTCATGCACCATATTGTGTTCAGCCACCACGCTTCAGGTCACAACAACATCAATTACCCACCCACCTACCCATTCACACCGTCACTCACCCCGTCACTCACTCACCCCGTCACTCACTCACCCCGTCACTCACTTACTCACTCATTCACCCCATCCCTCACTCACTCACTCACTCACCCTGTCACTCACTCACCCTGTCACTCACTCACCCTGTCACTCACCCCGTCACTCACTCACTCACTCACCCTGTCACTCACTCACTCACTCACCCTGTCACTCACTCACCCTGTCACTCACCCCGTCACTCACTCACCCCGTCACTCACTCACCCTGTCACTCACTCACTCACCCTGTCACTCACCACACTGCAGGTCGCAACATTTCTGCTTTTTCCCTCACACCGCTCGGTTTTGGAGTTACCTTCCAATTGTTACTTAACTCTTGCTGAACTCTTGCTTAACTTTGAAAGTGCTGTTTGATGATTGCCGCTTGACGTTCTGGGGCCTTTGACGGTGTGCTCATGAAACCGCGTAAAACATTTACCTTGTCCGTATCGTATATCGATGACTAAATTAGAGACAAAGATCCCCCGTATAGCCTGTAACAGACTGTTGGGGCAAGTGCTGTTCGCGAGCACCTATGAAGGCCGGCACGGCGCACGAGGGGGTGGGTGGCCAGCACCACGCCCGACCGTTTTTGTCTCTCCAGTGGCGATGTTTACACATCGCACCAGGTACTCATTTGAGGCCGAGTCGACCTAGGGGAGGCCCAGGACCGGTTCAGCGAAAATCGAACCCGGGTCGCCAGGTACGTAGCGCAGCGTGGCGCTAACCACAACACCACCGCTCCCCACGACTTCACGACATTGGAGACCGCCAGCAAAGCACCACAGGCGACTGTGAACTCGTAAACAACCCGACCACCACGACAGCCGCAGTACACCCGTCCATCTGTGCGAGAATCAAAGCCTTGTTCATTTATACTGGTAGGAACCACCTGGTTCCACCAGCCCACAGGGGATTATTGTGTCCGTCCGTCCGTCGTGTAGGGAGGGGCTGGGTGGGGAGGGGCTGGGAGGGGCGTGGGAGGGGCTGGTCACCCCGTGGTGCCCTTATAAAACTCAACGTTTAACCTACTCACGCCGGCTTGTGCCCGCCCTCACAGTCGGGCATTTTTGCGGAATACACCACGCCGCCGTTGACCCTGCAGGCCATTGACCGAGCAACCCAACGTTCCTACCAGCTCCCTCCGCAGGAATGTGTATTGCGAGCGATGGTCACGACGAAAGACAGGGGGAGAGGGGCAGAGTTGGTGTCGTGGTGGCGCTGTTCATCCTCCTCCTCCACCGTTGCAGGAGCACAGACACCACGATGGAGGTGGTGGTGGTGGCGGTGCTGGCTGCATGGCCAGCCACAGTCGAGTGCCGTTCAGGCTACGAGGCCGATCGCGATGAGCGGGGGGTGGGAAGTGAATTTCGTTCGGTGAAGATTTCGGTTCGAGCCGATCGATGAGTTGGTGAATCCGGGCGACCCCACCACCAAGACACGTGGCGAGGCTTGGGTTGTGCTTCCATCGATTTGTCCGCAGGACACTTTGTATAGCGGCCTCTAGTGGCAACGAAGGCGATGCCAGGCGAGACACACGAAGCTCTCGCTTCTGCCGAAACACCTCGCCACGTTTCACGCGCGGCTCTGCACCCCCCCCCCCCCTGCTGCGCTGACTCCTGGCAATTCCACGTTACTGTGACGAGGCGCGGTCCATCCCGAGTGACAGCACCTACCGAACTACAGGAAATCGCTGCTTGTGAACTCCGCTGACGATCTCGCATCATGCATCGATCTACTCCGTCGTCGTGATCAATATCGGCCATGGGCAATCCACTGCTGGATGAGGGCCTCCCCAAGGCACCGCCACACCGACCACAGCACGACACTGCCTCGCACCGCCGTGACGAACACTTCAAATAGCGACCAGCAACACACCGTCATCTATACACGGTGTGTGTAAACAGTAGCTTGTGATCGTAACGACAGTAAGCTACTGTAGATACAGTACAGTGTACAGTATATATAAACACGTGGCTCGGTGCTGTAACACGTGGGCCGCGCACTGTACGAAGACGCCACGTGTGTGTGTGTAGTACGACACGTGTGTGTAGTACGACACGTGTGTGTAGTACGACACGTGTGTGTAGTACGACACGTGTGTGTAGTACGACACGTGTGTGTAGTACGACACGTGTGTGTAGTACGACACGTGTGTGTAGTACGACACGTGTGTGTAGTACGACACGTGTGTGTAGTACGACACGTGTGTGTGTAGTACGACACGTGTGTGTGTAGTACGACACGTGTGTGTGTGTGTAGTACGACACGTGTGTGTGTGTGTGTTGTACGACACGTGTGTGTGTGTGTTGTACGACACGTGTGTGTGTGTGTTGTACGACACGTGTGTGTGTGTGGTGGACACGTGTGTGTGTTGTACGACACGTGTGTGTGTGTGTGGTGTTGTACGACACGTGTGTGTGTGTGGTGGACACGTGTGTGTGTTGTACGACACGTGTGTGTGTGGTGTTATACGACACGTGTGCGTGTGGTGTTATACAACACACGTGTGTGTGGTACAACACGGCACATCGCCATTCAAACACAGCAAGTGCTGTTAGCGAGCAGCACCTGTGAAGGCCGGCACGGCACACGGGGGGAGAGGGGGTGGCCAACACCACGCCCGGCCGCCTTTGTCTCACCAAGCACTCATGGTTTGTATACACACCGCGCCGAGGTACTCACTTGAGGCTGAGCCAACCTAGGAGAGCCCCCCCCCCGAACCGGTTCAAGTGTTCGCCGTCACCGTTGTTTGTTCGCGAGCAGGAATCGAACCCCGGTTCGCTTGTCGAGTTCGGCGCTCACCGCTGCGCCACCGCTCCTCACAGAGACACGCACCGGCTGCTGCTGCTGTTGTTATTGTTGTTGTTTTGTTGTTGTTATTGTTGTTGTTAACACGTGGCGCCTCGTACACAAACAGGCGCGAGCAGTGGCGCTGTGTGCCGTGGCCCACAGACGTCGCATCCTCATCCCCATCCCACCCCCTTCGCGTGGCCCGTGGAGTTCCTCCTCCGAATAAATTATAATTTATTATCGTATCGGCACTTCCACCCCCCCCACCACCACCACCCAGACAGTCTTCGTTGTTTGCCGTGTTTGTGGAGCTGTGTGTTTGTGTGTGTTGGCTCTCTCCGCTTGACTCAAAGAGTTCATCGCTGTGTCGACGGGACAGAACCTCGCGACAACGTTTCGTTCACTCTGGGCCGTGTTTTATGAAGAGATCATTCAACAACAACAAATCCCCCGGGGCAAGTGTTGTGAGCGAGTGGTGGGTTGGCCACCAATCGCGTATGCCCTGCCGCCTTTGTCTCCCCAGTGCTGATGTATCACACACACACTGCACCAGGTAGTCTTCTCAGGCTGAGTCGACTTAGGGGTGGCCCAGGAACGGGTTCATATATACGCCGCCGTGATGGGTGGCGAGTATTCGTAATTTAAACAGCAACACGCCGTGTCGGTCACTCTCGTGGTGTGACCATACTCCACTACGCTGGTCCCGTGCGCCTTGGGGAAGGAGTTGCCCTGGGGCCGGTTTGAGATCAACACACGCGTCCCCGATGTCTTAATCACGAGCCGCGGATGACACAAATCACGTGATTATAACGATGCTTGTGCGTTTAATGTAAATGTGCCGAGGCTCGCCGTCAACGCCGACGATCGGCGTAAGCGATGAGGTTGTGTTGCGGCAATGTGATTCCGAGTCGCTTCACGAGCTCACAAACCCAGCCCCTGGCAGTCGGCATCGCACAGCGCCCTCTCCCGAGTCAACGTGGTGGTGGTGGGTTTACAGATGAACACAAGGAACAAAAAGCATGCAATGTGCATGGCTTCAGTAACGCGTTTCCAACATGCCGTTGTGCTCGGTAATATAACAAAACAAAAAAATCAACAGAAATGAATGAAAATTACCTCCCGATGGCATTTGGAGCCACCGCGGCAGAAATAAAGGACAACACGTGTATTGGAGAACATAGGCAAGTATATTAAGAGGCATTTTTATTTTCATGTAACAGTGGATTGAGCGTGACGATGACGAGAGCATGGAGGGGACGCATGCTTGGAATTATACCGACACAGGAGGAGGGCCACGTGGCTGGGCAACAGACGCGGATTGCTTTGCTCGTCGGTGTCTCTCATCAGCTTGCGGCTGCGAGTGAGAGACTCGTGGTGCTGGGCTCGCAGTGCGACGTACGGACTAGAGCGACCGCCTTTGGCAAACGAAAAAAAGACAGCCGCATGAGCACATGACGGACCGTGTAAAAGGAAGACTTGCACAACTTGCTTTTTTTGTCATTTTCAACGAGCCCAGTTTTTATTTTATGTTTCTTGCGTTCAACCGAAGCATAAAAACCAAATCGGCGACAGGCGGCGTCGAGGTTAAAGGTCGGCGACGTGCAAGGGACCCGTCACTCGGCCGAGACGTCTTAGGAGGAGCGTGCGGGCAGGCGGGCGACAGTGGGAGACCCTTTCAAGACATCCGAAGCCACGGGTGACTTCTGTGGCGTTTCAGGAGAGACAGGGCACTCCGCGTTGTCACGCCACGTGTTAATTCTATCCCTCAAAAAAAAAATGTCATCACTCTCTTGTTTACACGACGGCAACGTAATCATGCAATTCAAAAATAAATCTTTGTTTTTATACAGCAAAAAAAAGACGACCTACAAACCTCAAAATGCCACATTCATTTCATATCATACAGTATATTTCATGGTAGGAACTTCGCATCACCCTGTTTGGCAGGGATTATTCAAGATGACTCAAGTGTTTCTACGACAGGTGAAACGTTCATCTTCTGCTCGCCAGCTAACACACGATACAGTTTTACAAAGACGGCTGTACCCAGATGTCTATTGTCCAGCCATCGGGTAATTAAGACTGAAATAACACCCTGAATACAATTTAGAGTAATGAATCAACCTTAGAACGAAAGATTCCATAATACTTTTCCCCCGACCCCCACCGACATTTTCCGAACTGACAATTCAGAAATCGAGACCCTTTCGCGGGGTCTAAAGTGTCCAGATCGCGGCGACGACGACGACGACGAAATGTGACCAAGGTGACACGAGGCTGTGTGCCCTGCGGTGCCGTGCTCGTGTTTCTCCGGCGCTGTGGCCTCGGTGACCACGTTCCACCAATCACAACGCGCGGGGCTAAGACCACGCTCATTAACCATTAAGCCTGCCTTCGGCCGTCAAACACGGATCCCGTTTCTGCAGGTGCTGGCCACACACCTGTTCACGAGCTCAATGGCGAGTATGGGAGCGAGTGTGGACTGCTACAGGTGTGCGCGGTGGGGGTAGTGAGCTTTACTGGCCAAACACCAGGTCGACATTTGTCTCCATAGCATTGTACTCCAATGGCAAAACTTTCATTTTATTCAAAGAGATTAGAGCCAGAACTCATGCACACAGTGGCCCCGTGCTGATATCACGAGGTCCCAAATATCGGCTGGATAGCAAAAATAATACGGGCGTGCATTTGCCGTAGATATTCCAGCCTCATAAAAGTTCTCACACTGTACCGTTTTGGTAACCGAATTCAATGCTGACCTGTTAGTTTGTACAATAAAGCATAAATAATTTAAAACATCCAACATAACTGAGCACTGCAAACCAACACACAATTGTTTTGCCATTGGAGTAAATCCATGGCATAATGTTCACAATTTGGAAGAGCCGTCACTTGGGCAGTTTTCACCTCATCCTCTATGGGTCCTAAAGCCAACTCACCAGTAAATGGATCATGCGTCTGCCCTGTTACCCAGTGTCCAAGTTACAGCACCACAGCACATGCAAGCTTTGATACACACACAGGAAACCATTTCGTCAGAAACTAAAAAACATGTCTTCAGGTAATGCTTAATGGGATTAGTGCACTCATTATAATGCTTTTCATTTCAATTACATCAGAG